TATTATCTGAGCAGCACATATAATCATTCAGTTAGTACAGCAAACAAAAACCAGCAGCAGTTTTGACAGCTTACACAGTCTATTATGGCATTAACAAATTGTTTACCTAAAATGTCTCAAGACTTTATCCTGCTGGAGAGAAAATGCTGGATCCAGTTCTTCCTTGCCTTGCAAGCTTTGAAATATTATTTTCGAAGGAGTATTTTAAAAATAAAGTATTTGAAAAGCGCAAAAAAAAATGGCATGAATGTGGTTTTGCACTTAAATCAGCCCATCCAAGGTTATTAGATAAATATTATTTACCAGCTCGCACTGTGGCTTAAGTGTTGACTCACTTGACCAAGATTTATTAAGCAACCTCAATATTCACAGGCGTAAAATAAAATCTTTGTACTGCAAATAATCGGAGGATCCACGAATTGAAAGCAAAGATGTTTACTGTCCCTTTGCTGCCATCACTCGGTGCTCAGTTTTTTCTGATGCCCAGATATGGGAAATAAACCCATGTTTACCCATTGCAATGTTTTGGTTTATGTGCAGGCAAAGCCCAATCAGAGAGTACAGGTAGTCCTGGGGCCCAACATTTCTGAGACAGCTAAGTGAGTTTTGTCTCATTCTATGGCCTTTTCACTGTTGTTAAGTGAATCACTGCAATTATTAAATTAGTAACACGGTTGTTAAGTGAATCTGACTTCCCAGTTGATTTTGCTGGTCAGAAAGGGACAAAGGGTAAATCACACGGCCCTGGGACCCCGCAACCGACATCATGAATATGAGTCAGTTGCCAAGTAGGTGAATTTGGATCCCGTGGCCATGGGGACGCTGCTGCAATGGCCGGTGAGAAACGGTCATGTCACCCTGTTTTGTTTTGTTTTTCACCGCAGTTGCAACTTTGGACGATCGCTCAATGAATCGTGGCAAGCCGAGCATTAGCGAGATCGCATGCCGCCGCCGTCTATGAATGAACCCAACCTTACCTGCCCGCGAGAGCAACCGGCGCGCTCCCCTTCCCTCCCAAGCTTCGGCCCCGGGGAAGCCACGCGCGCTCTCGTGGCCGGCTGCGCGCGAGCCCTCCCCGGCGAAGGCGCAGCCACGAGGGTCCGCGGCGTCTCGGGCGCGCCCCCCGCCCTCCTCGCTGCAGCGTAGTCGCAGCAGCAGCAGCAGCTACAGGAGCGCCAGGCCGGGCGGAGCCGGAAGCCGCCGGCCGAGCCTGCCCCACTGCGCGGCGGTGCGCAAAGGAGGGCGCGACGGCGGTGTGGCTCCTTCATGGCGCTCAACCTGAGCCGGAATGGGCCGGCGCTGCAGGAGGCCTATGGCCGAGTGGTGGCCTCCGGGAGCCGCACGGACTGGTGAGGGGCTGCGGGGCTGGCGGGCTCCGAGCGCAACTTGGGGTGGCCATGCAGGGCTCGCTTGGAAAGGTCCGGCGGCGGGCTTGGCGCGGGGGAGAGTGCGGGGCAGAGAAAGGGGCGGCTGGGGAAGGGGGAGAAGCGGGGATGCCGCGAGGTCTTAAGCTCCCCTGGAGGGAGAGCGGGGCGACGGCCGGGGAGTGGGGAGGCTCCCCGGGAAAAAGCCCCCCCGCGCGCGCGCCCTGGGGGAGTCGGATGCGCCCTCCTGTCTCCAGGCTCCCCCCCCGCGAAAGCTGAGCATGGACTGGGGTTGGAGTAATGAGGAAGCGGCCGAGCCGTGGTGGCGCAACGAGAGCGGGAGAAGTTGGTGGGGCAGGAAGGTTGGGCATGGGGCAACTCGGGGGAGTAGTGGCAGGCGACGTTTGGGAAATGACGCTTGGCATCCCTCACTTGGACAGGAGTTTGCCCCAACGTTGCCCCCTTTTTCAGCTGTTCTCAATAAGAACCCCCCCCCGCCCCCAAACGCTCTCTTGGCTTCAATAGAACTGAGCCGTGTGAGATTTAGTCGGCCGGGAGCCAGGCCGGTTGACTTGCACGTTGGGTAAACCAGCCATCCTGGTTCAATCATTACATGGTTTGCTTGAGAGGCAAAGCACCTTGTGGGAGGAATAACAATGTTAATCTGCGTTCAGTTTATTATGTGAACTCAGTCGCCTTGTGTAAGGAGGGGGGAGGCATTACTTTTAAGGAGTGCCATAGATTGGTTGGAGGTACCAAGATCAAGCCAGCAGGCCATTATGATAATGGAAACACTGGCATAGCTGGCTGGGAAACGCCTTACTGACTTTTGCACACACACACACACAAAAACAATTTATGACTTGACTGTTTTGATGATGAGACAGGTTAAATTGTAAAAAAGACGAGAAATGTGTTGTAGAGAAAAAAATTATAATTGCACTTACATACAGTAATTGCTGCAAAAATCGGAAGCCACTTCTTTGTATCTATTTCCTTTCTGTTTTCCTTTTCCTTCCTCCTTGCTTGTTTCCGCTTTTAGCTTTCTCTGCTATTTCTCCCCCCCCCTTACCTTAACACTAGTTATTATCTTCCTTTTAAAAATGCTTAATAAAGTTATATATAGAAAGGATAGGCCCAGCAATCTGATTGGGAAAAAAAGTGAAGATTTAGGAGTTGTATTCAGTGGAAAGAGGCTGGATGGAGCTTACAACTGTAGTAAAATTGGTAATTAAATGTATAGAGAGGTAATCCCATTAGATCATTTTAAGAATAACTGTTAATCTCTGTAAGACTGTAAACACACCCCTGTCATTGTTTTAAAGATAGAAGCCCGGCATTAAAAAGAAAGAAAGTTTAAAAAATTAGAGAAAAAAACACAGCAGTTTGAATAAACCACAATCAAACCTAGGTTTCATGTGATGTAAGAATACAATCAATGAAGCATCAGGTCAATAATGTTCTGAATCTGGAAGGTTATCCTCAGTCTCCAGTGAGTAAAAAAATAACAATCATTTTGCTTTGTTGCTTCCAGGGCTCTGTTTACATATGAGGGTAACAGCAATGACCTCAGGGTGGCAGGGACTGGAGGTGAGTGAATTTTGCAAGCAAGCATTCTTTAATAGAAGCAAACTTTTTTTGTGGCCTGAAAAGTTTGCTTCTGGGTTTGGGTTGAATGTCTCTCAAGAAGTCTGTATTCTAGATTTTGTCTGTCCTTAGGTTCTAAAGCAGAGACTGCTTGATTATGGCTTTTTTCATCCAAATGCAACTGATTCCATGGTTTTTGCAGGCCATGACTTCTGTAGCATTTCCCTAGAGAGCCTGGTTCTTTGGTGTCACACGTTCATTTGTCTACGGAGATTCTCAGCCATCCAGGTCATAGTTGTCCCATCCAGAGGCAACTGGACTGTCTGGTTTTTTTTTTCTTTGAAGATGTTTCCTTCTCATCCAAAAAGCTTCTTCAGCTCTCGAGACACATTCATTTATTTCTGCAGTGGAAAGGAAGCAATATGTTATTGGATTTGGATTTATTACATTTATATGCTGCCCTTTTCCTCGAAGGGGACTCAGGGAAGGGGGTACAGACAGGGGGATAAAAAGACGAACATAACAATACGAAATTTAAAAAACACACAACAACCATACCATTCGAGGAGGGGGGCAAAAGCTCTTTAGCCCCAGGCCTGTCGGAACAGCCAGGTTTTAAGGGCTTTGCGGAAGGCCTGGAGGGTGGTGAGGGTTCGAATCTCCACGGGGANTGGAGCGGGTCTCACTCCCGGGCTCTGCCTTCCCTTTTTCTTCTTCCCCCCCCTTCCTGGAAAGGAGAGGTGCAGAAACAAGGGATCGCTGGAAGCAAACAAGGGTGGGAGTGTGTGTGGGGGGGGGGGGGGAGAGGAAGAGAGGCGGACCTCGTTGCGAAGGCTCTCCTGGCCAAATAAAAAGCAAGGAATCCCGAAGGAGCCGCCTCTCGGCTTCCCCCCACCCGGATCCCTGATTGCTAAATCTTGGCGGGCGGGTTTGCATTTCAATAGATGGAATAAAGAGGGAATCTTTGCAGCCCGATCCTGTTGCAAGGTAACTTTGAGAAGTCAAGTGGGGCGGGGCGGCGTGGGGGGGGGGCGGAGGTTGCAACCTAAGCGTGTTTCCTTCCGATCTGGAGAGTTAAGTCCCAAGGAATTTGGAAAGGATTTGCTTTGGCGAGTGAGCGCGCTGAAGTTTGCATGGCGTGCCTGGTCTGAAAGGTCTTCTCCAAATACTCAGCGCCGCGTATGGAATAAACTGCTTGACAGCCATGATGATAGGAGCGTTCAAAGCAAAATCCAGTTCAATTCAGCGGGAGCATAATTTGCCAAGCGCTGGGAATTGCAGCCATTACCCCGCTTTTTCTTTTCTTTTGCAAAGCAGCTAAAACTCCCAAACACTTTGTTCAACAAGTTGCTAATGAGGCAACACAAGAGCAACGAGTGAAACGCACACACAGGCACTCACCCTCTCACTTATGCGTGGTATTTACATGCATGTTTCTCTTACAAATTTAATTTTAATGCCCTCAACAGATTTTTAAAACAATGCCCCGAACAATGTCTTGGAAGGCAAAGGAGGCCAGAGTTTGGCCAAGGGACACTGGTATGAGAATAGGAGTGATGCTAATAAAGAATTGCATTTGAGGCTTGTGTTTTGTTTTGTTGCTTTCCATCTCAAACACTTTGGTGCCAGCTATTTTTCATTTATGGCATTTATTATCCAAATCTGACATATATCCCATATTCTGCGGATTACAAGAGCTGAAGACCTGTGTATATGGATGGCACTAAATTGGATGAGGCTATGGTATATGTGATGGAATGAAGCCATATAAAATAAATAAATTTGGCATCTTTCAAGGCCTGGCTATTACTATGGTATGTTAGCCTCTGGTTCCAGTTATTTCAGCCTGACATTTGCTTCCTCTGGTTATATTATCACAAAGTGTTGAGGGGAAAACACTTAAACACCACATGCAATGAAATTACCTACCTACAAACCTCTATAGCCCAGCAACTGTTCCTTATCAGAGGATAACTATTATCAGGTGACTAATTTTTATTATCACCTTTGATAAGGTGATAAGATAAAGATGGTTATTGTACAATAGAAATGAAAAGGAGATTAATTTTAAGCAGAAAAGCTATGACAAATGTAGACAAGATCATGAAAGATAAGGGCATTATAATGATAAGGGAGAAATTCTGAAAAGCAATGGTCTTTCTAGTGTTGATGCACTCTATTTTTGGAAAAAATAAAAGGGGAAAAAAAGTAAGATTCTTTTAGGATATAGATTGGGATGCAATTAGTCCTAAAGCAAAGAAAAGCTGACTGTTCTTCCTTGAAGTGCGGTTCAGTAAACAGATTTTGAGCAAGTGATGCAAGTGGAATATACATAAGAAAAAAAAGATTATGTTTGGCAAGATTGAGAGAAGTAGAAAAGGGGGAAGAATACTGATAAGGTGGAAGAACAAGATCAAAAAGATTACTAGAGTACTTTGGGAATGATGTGAGTTGTTATTTATTTTTATTTTATTTAGGAGATTTATATTGCTGCCTTTATTAGTGTACAGCCTGGACAAAATGTCAATACAGGAGTAATTTGGTGAATTCAAACCAATTCAGTAGCACCTGTCACTAACATCTGGATGAATGGCATCCACTCTTAAGTTTGCCCTAAGTTTGCACAATGGGATAAGTATGAAATCTTGAAAAAAAATGTGATATGCAGGGCACCAAAAATGGCTCTACAATATGTGTACTCTCAGTATTTTACTTTGTTTTTGAGTGACATTTCAAAGTGAGGATGGCCAGCATAAAGAAAGCCAAAACAGAAATGAAAAATTGATTTAATTTAAAATATTGGTATTTTAAATTAAATATTAGTGGGTTGGATCCAATAGTGCCGGGCAATTCCAAATTGAGCTGGGTGGAGGTTGTGAACTGCATTCTTTAACATTTTCAAAAGTCCTGGTATGTCAGACAGCATAAAGTTTCAAGTTTATTAGGATTTGTATGCCGCCCACTCCCATAGGGACTCTGGGCGGCTCACAACAGACAAGAAACATTTAAAATTTTAAAAAAAGAAATAAAAAATAAAAATACAGTATTAAAATTCACATCACCCATTCCATCTAAGCGGGGCTGGATATCACTCAACAGCCCCAGGCCTGCCGGAACAGTCAGGTCTTGACGGCTTTACGGAAGGCCGGGAGAGTGGTAAGGGTCCAGATCTCTGCAGGTGGGTCGTTCCACAGGGCCGGCGCAGCAACAGAGAAGGCCCTNGAGGAGGCCTAATCTGTGGGATCTAATCGGTCTATTGGATGTTATACTTTAAACATGCTACAAATCTGTGTGGAAGTTCATAGGTGACCTGAACATTTTTTTAATGGGATTTACTTTAAAAAAAATATTTTGTTTTAAAAAAAAAACTGCAAGGGAAAATGTTAATTAGCAGCCCAAATGTCAAGTTTGTACGTTAAAGAGCTGCTTATAAAATGGCAGTTTTAGCAACCTGAACTGCTTATTAAATGTACTTGTTTTGGCATGCCGCCGTTAAGACATTTTTAGTGGATGGAATGACTGTAGCCTGTTCCCTTTACAAAAATATATTCTTGCCTTTGATTAGTCATTGTGCTCTTGTCACCATAATTGCAAGGAATGGGAAAGTCTGAAAATGTGCAAAGCCTACGTTTTTCTGATTGTGTTTTTTTTTTAATGTTCCTCAATATATGCCAATAAGCATAAGTGTGGAGTCTTAACACTTTGGCATAAATTGCACACAAGGAAGTGCAACAGGTTAGTTATGATGTCTGAATTGGCTACCGAACTAGAATCAGAAACCATGAATTTGCACATTTATGGCCTGTCACTTAGCAACAATATGAAGTTAACACCGGATCTCCTGGAGATACTTACAACATAGTTCCTAAGTTCTGATGGCTGCCCACCTCCCACCCAGTGCACATGACTGCATTTAAGGTGCTCGGCCTCTGGCCTGCATTTATGGACATTTGCAACATCACCGCTTCACATGACCGTGCTTTACACCATTTTTTTTTTTGAAAAACTGCATTTATTTCCTGTTTTTAGCAAAAACCATCCCATAACAAACAATTGGTTCACTTATAAGTATAATCTTTATTGTCATTGTACTTAAATACAACGAAATTGGTTGAATGACCCTGCATTCGCTTATCGGTTGCTGCAAAAACAGCAATAAAATCGGATCGGTACCCTGGACGACCCGTTTTGTGACTGACATGCTGGGCAAGCTCAATTACAGATGTCAACTGAGGCCTGGCTCTGTCAGGGCTTCAAAGTGATTTGATGGATTGTCTGAACTGGGGAAAAAAACATGTATGACTTGCTAAAGAAACCTCCAGGTGTTTCATGGTGGCAGGTGAAATGCAGGGTAGAAAGATTACAAGTTAGGAGGTGTTTGTTTTTTTTGTTTTTTTTTATTATCTTCTAATTTGCAGAACTCACCATTTTGTATCGCCAAAGGTCAAATCTGGAGGAAGTTCAAATTCAGTTTCTAAAATGGTTACCTTTGAGCCAGCTAAGCAACATCCCTTTTAGTCTCCGTTTTTTTTAAAAAAAGAAAACACTGTCTGAAGCCACAAGGACAGAAATTATACCCTATAAGCTACATAGTACCATAAAGGTCCTTTTTACGGGATTTTTATTTGTAAAAATGCAATAAGAAAGGAGAACTCCTGCAAATAATATCTCATCTAGAAACTCCTTCAGCAATTTTTTTTTTTTGTAAAAAAGGGAAGTAGCTGACATAGCTCAGTATTTGGTGATTTTTCAGTGGAAAAATTTAACACTGAAGAAGAATTAAAAACTCCACAGTTGCCTTTTTTTTGGTTTCACATTAGGGATGGCTACTTTTTGAGAGAACTAAAATAGGTGACTGAATGATGATGGCAATAAAGAAAAAGAGAAATGGTAATTGTAACGCGGAGGCAGAATAGGATGGTTTAAGGGAAGGAACATCAAAGATGAAGAGGCTGTGTGGGCAGGGAGTGAGCCTTCAAATGAGGAAGTGATTCACTGCCTGCTGTTTTAAGATTGCGGCTCAGTAGAAACATCCTTATATATATTCTGAATCTTCAAATTTATTGATCTCAGAACTATAATGACGAAGTTCTATTACTTAATGGGTTTCCAAAGTATTTTTGGCACAGTAAATGTTGTCTTATGCCTTACTAAGTAGAATTTTTAGATGGATATTGAGCATCACAGTTTATCAGCCCAGCAGAAACTCAAGGCAGACAGTATTTGTCCTCTATAACAGTCTAGCCTAGAGGTAGTCCTCAACTTATCACCATTGGTTTAACAGCCATTAAAGTTACGACAGCACTTGTAACTTTAAAAAAAGTAACATAGGATCAATTCAGAAGGTCCAGCTCTTCCCAACCCCATGGACCACAGTACGCCAGACATGGCTGTCCTCCACTGTCTCCCGGAGTTTACCCAAATTCCTGTTCATTGCGTCGATGATGCTATCTAGCCATCTCATCCTTTGATGCCCCCTTCTCCTTTTGCCTTCAAGGTTTCCCAACAGCAAGGTATTTTCCAATAAGTCCTCTCTTCTCATTAGGTGGCCAAAGTTATTTGAGCTTCAGCTGCAGGATCTGTCCTTCCAATGAACAGTCAGGGTTGATTTCCTTTAGGATAGTATCACTTAGGATAACATATGAACCAGGCCAGAGTGTTTTTATCTGTAAGCAAGATTGAACCTCTGTCCCTTCCGATATTGGCTGACTGGTGTTTAAGTATCACCTAGAATTTCTGGAGTTTGCTGGTTCTAGATCAGCATATTCTGTACTTTGTTTATAGGTCATTCTTAATGTGAATTTGCTTTAACAATCTCCCATTTCTCTTCTCAAATAATGATACATAGATGGTGGTCTGGAGGAGATGGTGGAGGAACTCAATAGTGGAAAAGTAATGTATGCATTCTGCCGAGTGAAAGACCCCAATTCTGGTTTGCCGAAATATGTGCTCATTAACTGGGTATGTACAATGTAATTCCATTCAATCATAAAAGTTAGAAATTATTTCTAAAAATGTTGGCCGCCTTGTTATATAAAAAGTAAACAAATTTCAAAGTAAACTGACAGTGTCTGAACATTCAGGATAAAAAAATCAGGTTGGAAATACATATAAGCCATGATTAATAAACAGTGCTTTGGTTCACATATCATGGTAAGCCAAAACCATGGAAATCGCATTATGGCTTAGTATAATGTTGGGCTTAAGATGAAGCAAATTATATTTTAGGCTGCACTGAACATAATGCCTGGAATGTTTATGCCATTTAACCCCCCCCCCCTTCCCCGGAACTTAATTCTCTCAGCAAAGCTGCATCAAATCAAGTATTTTAATGTTTGCACTCATTGCACACATTCCTAAATATCTTTTAAAAGATAAACATGCATTTCACACTGCCAAGTAAAAGCTCTAATGCCTCCCTAAATCCGGGACTGGATTATTTGGGGAAAAATAAACATTTGATAAACTGGCCAAAAAGAAAATGTGCTACTAAAATATAGGGCAGAAGTTGTCAGACTCTGGATCAGTCTCAGCAGGGGAAACGTTCAGCATCATTAACCTCAAAGTTGCCTTGGAGACGGATAGCATCAAAATCCCAGGAAATAAACGGAGCAGGCAATAATTAAGAATGAAATACTTAAGGCAGTCCTTGACTTACAACAGACAGTTTAGTGACCATTTGAACTTCCAGCAGCCCTAAAAAAAGTGAATTATGACCCTTTTTCACACTTACGATCATTGTGGCAACCCCACGGCCAGGTGAACAAAATTCAGATGCTTGGCAACTGACTCATATTTATGACGGTTGCAGTGTCCCGGGGTCATGTGATCACCTTTTGCAACCTTCTGACAAGCAATGGGGAAGCCAGATTCACTTAAGAACCGGGCTACTTATTAAAACAACTGCAGTGATTCACTTAACAACTGTGGCAAGAAAAGCCGTAAACGGGAGCAAAATTCACTTAACTGTCTCGCTAAGCAACAGACGTTTTGAACTCAATTGTGCTTGTAAGTCAAGGACTATCTGTAGCAAAGGTGACTTACACTTAAGATACCTTTTGTCCTCCTTAAATGACAGAATCTGTAAGCCTGTGGCACATGAATCATTAATAGTCATACAAACCTTCACACATCACAGGATAGGTTATCCAGTGTGCAAAGTGAAGCCTGAGAAAGCGAATGTTGCAATAAATGAGTTGATCTCTGTAATATGGCAGAAGCATTGATTAGGTTTTGCAGCAAGAGATTCAGTGCATGAAGACAAACAAAGTTAAAGCAATGTGGGTGTTTAGTTGAGGGCTGAAATGAGTAGGCCTCTTTTGGAACAGACTTCTCAATATATTGAGTATACTTTAGTTGTGTGGAGTGACAACTGTCCTCCTTCCTAGCCATTGACTGGAAATTTGAGGAGTTGTAAACCAACCTTTCCAAAGAGCAAAAAGTTGGGAAAGGTTTCTGCAATATGTGTTGAATCAGACCAAACCAGCCTTTATTGCAGTCATTAACCAGTATATCCAACTCGAAGGCATTTTAGTTTTCTCCTGGAATAGCAATAGCAATTGCACTTAGATAAGATAAGATAAGATACTTTATTTGTATGCCGCCCTTTTCCCTGGGGGGACTCAGGGTGGCTCACAGTTCAGGGGGAGGGGAGGAAAACAGTATTCCAGATTCTATAAAAAGATTGCTGCTTTTAAAAACAGAACATG